GTAGGTGTGATGGAATGGAGTAAGGGTGAGGGTATGCCCTGCTCTGGTAGCCCCTGATTGCCACAGCTCCCTGATCTCCTCCCAGGAACGGCATCATACAAAGGTGCAATATCAGCTCAAGTCAGAGCATATTTCTCTGGCTCAAGTGTTCAGCAAGATGGAGCAGGTAGTGGGTGTGCTGGGCATCGAGGACTACTCAGTCAGTCAGACCACCCTGGACAATGTGAGTGTGCTACATGGAAGGGGGTGTGTCTTCTTGGACTTGCCTGCACCACTTACCTTCACCCCCACACCTGTCCACAGGTGTTTGTGAACTTTGCCAAGAAGCAGAGTGACAATGTGGAGCAGCAAGAGGCTGAACCCTCAACCTTGCCATCCCCCCTTGGACTACTCAGCCTGCTGAGGCCCCGCCCTGCACCCACAGAGCTCCGGGCACTGGTGGCTGATGAGCCTGAGGACCTGGACACAGAGGATGAGGGGCTCATCAGCTTTGAGGAAGAGCGGGTAAGTGTCAGCATCTCCCACGCTGTTGCTTAGGCCACCCAGAGGCTCAGGCTGAAGGGCACAAGTGAGGGAACTAACTGAAGATAAACTGGCTTCTAGTTGTGGAGCAGAGAGGGACTTGAGTGGGTAGGGGGAAATTGGAATGGGCAGGAACCAAATGCAGAGCCCAGAACACACTGGAATCTTTGAAGACCCCATGTCAGAGTTGGGAAACCAGAGACTAGGGAGAGATACGACTGTGGCTATCACACTGGGTGAGGAGCAGACATCAAAGAGTGCTTAGTAGGGAGAGAATGCTTAGGGGAACTCCAGTCCCAGGCAGAGGTCAGGTACAGTGTGAACATCCTCAGCTCCCACTGGGGTGCTGAAGATGTCTTCCCAAACCCAGTTCCTCTGCTCTCCACCAGGCCCAGCTCTCCTTCAACACGGACACACTCTGCTGACCATCAAGAGCCACATCAGGGATGCAGCTGTGGTGGCTATAGCCCTTAGTCACACATGCCAGGCCCTGAAAAGGCAGGTTCAGGACCAAAGGGCTCCTGCCCTCCTCCCAACTACCACCCTCCCCAAATTGTGCCAAAGGCTGGCCTGGCCCTGGGCTGCACATACCCTCACCCTGCTTTGCCTTAAAGCCTTGGGTCCTGGCCCAGCCCATTACCCTGCCCAGCGCCATCCACCTTCCCAGGGTGACATGGGCTGCCCCAAGCTTCCTATGACCCTACTCTGCAGCGGCCCCAATTCTACCCAGGCCAGTATCTTGCACAGATGTCTTTTTGTGGACATCCCTGACTGCAGTTGGGGACTGGGCAGCTTGCCTACTTACTTTGCTTTAAGAGCCTCCCTCTGCTGTTGTGAAGAAGTTAGGCTACCCATGGGAAGCCATGAATGTGGCTGCCTCAGCCCAGGTGGAATAGCAGAAATGGAGAAGCTGGGCTTGCTGGCCAGGAGAGGGTCCACTGCTCCCTCCCTGTCCCCTCAAGCTGTCGTCGTTCTCCCATCCAGCTTCCTGTCCTTCCTGCCACCCATCTGGGAGCAGGACCTTGTATTTAGCGCACAGATGTTTGTTTTCAATAAATAAATTTAAAAAAAGCCTGTGGGAGCCTGTGTGTGTGGGTGAGGGAGTTAGGGTGAAGGCAGGCCACTCAGCCTGTATCCTGTGTTAAGGGAGGGACTGCTCAAAATGGGGAGATCTATCATTATTCCTCTTTCCCACTCATACAGCCTAGATCTCTGCTTAGTGGGTGGGTCCTAAGTAGGCTTTATGGAACGGTTGTGCAGTGCTGTTCACACAGCACTGGTGCTGTCTCTCAGCCCCATCTTAGCTCCCCACTAGGCCTAGCACCCACAGTGAGCTTCTTTGTGCTGGGTTGTCTCTGCTTTGTGAAAAGTGGAGGGGACTTTTGGGAGAAGACCTTCATGTTGATGATAGAGTCTGGGTGCATAAGAAGAATTTCCAGAAGGTGATGGGCCTTGGCTGGTGGGCATGTAGTCAGGTCCTGCCGGGTAGTGAAGTGGGCTGATGTACAGAAAGGCCCTAAGGCATAGAGCTTAGGAAAATCAGACCCAGAGAGAATATGGCTCAGGAGAAATAGGAACTGGGAACTCTTAGGTTAAAAAGTTATGAGGCCCCATGTTTGCTGGGCAGGAGTCAGGACAGCAAGATGAAGGCTTCTCGGGTTTCCACCTCAGATTTTAAAGTTCTTAGAGGTTTGGGACACAGAAGACCCTTAGGAGAATAGAGAGCTGGCTGGCACCATGTGAGGGAATAAAAGAAGAGGAAAGGGTAGGGGGAGCCAGGGAGAAAGGTGCTGTGTCCCTGTGGGTTATGAAAGCTACATGGCCTGCTATAGTTTCCAGAGTCTAGCCACAGAGCTGGTGCCCTGGGCAGTGGGCTGAGGTTTCTCTGGCCTGAGAGGCAAAGGGGCAGAGAGAGTGAACATGTTAAAAATCCGGAACGTGGACTTGGTTCATAAAACCACTTGATAGTCCTACAGAGGATCAGAATTCAGTTGCCAGCACCTGTGTTGGATAGTTCATAACTGCCTGTAATTACAGCTCCAGGGGATCTGATACCTTCTGGCTTCCATAGATACACACACACACACACACACACACACACATATACTCACAGATCTATGTACATACACATAAATAAAAATTAATTCTAGGAGTTTGGAGAGATGGCTCAGCAGTTAGCACTTTCTGATCTTCCAGAGGACCCGACTTCCTCATGTCATACAACCACCTGGAACTTCAGCTCCAGGGAATCCTATGTTCTCTTCTAGCCTCCTCAGGTGAGCGCGCGCGCACACACACACACACACACACACACACATCTCAAGAAATGTACCTAAAATACTGGGCACCTGGCACAGACCTTGTAATTCTAGATATTGGGACACTGAAGCAGAATTGCAAGTTCAGGCCCACTTGGTCTACAGAATGAGTCAAGGCTGTCCTGGACCACTTATGAATACTTGGCCTCAAAAAGTAAGCTGGCGTGCTGGTGCACAGGTGGCAGTGGCAGAAGCAGGTGGATCTCTGAGTCCAACACCAGCCTGGTCTACCTAACAAGTTTATGTAGAGCTACATAATGAGACCCTCTTACAACAACAACAACAACACAACACAAAACAACAACAACAACAAAAGTAAAAAGGGCTGGGAATATAGCTCAGTGGAAGAGCACCTGCCTGGCATGTTTAAGGTTCTAGGTTCAATCTACAATACCATCAAAACAACAAATGTGGCAGACACCTGAAGTTTTTCTCTTGCCTCTACACATCCAGCAGGAGCCTGAATTCCAAGAAAGCCTGGTTTCCTGAACCCAATGATGTGCACTGATTCCTACCCTAACCATTCATGCATGGTTTTGCATGAATTTCTTTATACTTCTGACAAATCTAAGGTGTAACCCTACCATCATCTTAAATTTGAAACTTCCAGAACAGTTCCAAGAAAAGAACAGTGTGTGTACCTATGCCCTGTGCACAAGCTTGTGGCTTGGAACACTCTGTTTTTCTTCTCAAGACAGGGTTTCTTTGTGTAACCTTGGCTGTTCTGGAAATTGACCTTGAACTCAGAGATGTGTCTGCCCAATTCTGGGATTAAAGATGTGTTCTACGACACCCAACCTGTGGGTTTTTTTTTAAATTAATTACAGTAATTAATTACTTTGTATCCCAGCTGTAGCCCCCTCCTTTACTCCCTCCCAATCTCAGCCTCTCTCCCTCATCTCCTCCCTGCCCCTCTCTAAGTCCACTGATAGGGGAGGCCCTCCTCCCCTTTCATCTGACTCTAGCTTATCAGGTCTCATCAGGACTAGCTACAATGTCCTCCTCTGTGGCCTAGCAAGGCTGCTCCTCCCTCGGGGTTGGGGGAGGGAAGGTCAAAGAGCCAGCCACTGAGTTCATGTCAGAGACAGTCCCTGTTCCCCTTACTGGGAAACCCACTTGGACACTGAGCCGCCATGGGCTACATCTGAGCAGGGGTTCTAGGTTATAATAATCCAAACCTTGGGCAGAGTGCAGGAAATCATATGAAAGAAGGGGGAGTTAGTAAGACCTGGAGAGGACAGGAGCTCCACAAAGACCAAATATATCTGGGCAGAGGGGTCTTTTCTGAGGCTGATTCTCCAACTAAGGACCATACATGGATATAATCAATCTGTGATTGTTGGCACAATCTGTAAGCATCCTTCTTGTGCTAACCCATCAGAAAGAAGTGCCCCCAAACTAGCAACTGTTCCCCCCTGCAGCTACCCCTATCCCTGACCCCACAGTTGCCCCCACACCCTCTTGCAGCTGCCCTCACCACTGAAACTGCCCCCGTTTGCCCTCGCAGCTGCCCCCACCCCAAACCTGCCCCCCATAACTGCCCCCCGTACCCTCACAACTACCCCATTCCCATCCCCACAGCTGCAGGCAAGGACCTCTCTCTGGAAACAACAGGGACACAATGCTGTCCGCCAGAGTCTGAGGCATTTCTTATGTAGTTTTTTAAAGAGCTACACAGGAGCTGTAAGAGCACTACCATCCCTACCTCAAGCCCAGGAGGCTGAGGAACTGAGCAGGGCTACAAGGAATAGGAGCTTGAGGATGACCATGGACCAGAAGCTTCTGCTGTAAGAACAGACATAGGCTACAGGCTAGAGGCCAGTCAGGGCAATCATGTGTGCAGCCTGTAGGATTATAGGACCATTACTAGTGCCCTTACCCTTACTTTGTCACAAGTTACCCATCAACCAACCAGGGCCTTTCAACAAATCAACTGACCAGTTACCCAGTGCCCACCAAGTCCGTAGTAATCGGGGGTGGCCTGGGCTGCAGTAGGGACTCTGAAGGACTCATTTCCTGAAGTTTTCAATGTGATAATAGTGAAGTATTATTGACTCTGTGAGATTCATACAGTGCAGTGTTGAAAAGGGAAGAAAAGCTATGTGTCCTGGTTTGCTTTCTATTGCTGTGATAAATACCACAACCAAAAAGAACTCAGGGAAGAAAAGGTTTATTTCATCTTACAGTTCCCCACTGAGAAAAGCCAAGGTACAAACCTGGAGGCAGGAACTGAAGCATAGGCCATGGAGGAACACTGCTTTCTGGCTTACTTTCAGCCTGCTCTTTATACAGTCTGGGACTACCTGCCCAGGGGTAGCACTACTCACAGAGGGCTGGGCACACCCTCCTCTATCAACCATTAACCAAGAAAATGCCCCACAAACTTGCCTATGGGCCAGTCTAATGGAGGTATTTTCTGAATTGAGGTTCCCTTTTCCCAGATGACCCTAGCTTTTTATCAAGCTAACAAAAAACTAACTGGCATATTAGGTTTGGTGGTGATACCTGTACCCCCTAGCACTCAGTAACAATAGGAAGGGGGTCAGGAGTTCAAGGCCAATATGGGCTGCCTAAGACCCCGTCCAAACACAAAAATAGAAAAAAAAAATTTCTGCCTCTAGAACCAGTTAGAGTTGGAGCATTTCCTTGTGCTACAACGTCTCTGACGTAGTATCTCACCTTTTTTTTTTCCCTGCCCCTCAACCAGGACAGGTTTGGCAAGTGCAGAGATTTGAATAGATCTAATTATTTCCTGGGTCAGATGCAGTTGGACATTTTGGTGCAGAATACAGTAGGTTATGATATGCCTAAGGCCAGCAGTCCTGGTGAGGGTCTGTCCTGGAGCTTGGTGTCAGCTTCTCAGTGGGAAGACCTTTCTCTTTTAGCACTGAGACAATGAAGCAATAGCCCATTGTCCAGGATTGTTTCATTTTTCTGCATGTGTCAGTTAGCATTCTCATGGAGTCCGCTTCTGCTTAAAACAAAACAAAACAAAACAAAACAAAACAAAACAAAATGTCATTGAGCCAGCTATGCTAATGAATGCCTTTAATCCCAGCACTCAGGGATGCAGAAGTGGGCAGATCACTGTTAGTTTGAGGCCAGCCTGGTCTACAAAGCCAGTCTAGGACACCCAAGGCTACACAGAGAAACCCTGTCTTGAAAACAATAACATGTCATTGTGGACTTAGGCACTTAAAATCTTTCCGTTGTGTTTGTGTTTATGAATGTGTGTGTTTAGGTCTGCACATTCTGTGGTTTTGGACTTGGTTCTCCTTCAACTCTCAGCTCCAGGGCTCAAAGGCAGCTTTTAGGCTTACATTTGAACAGCAAGTGCTTTTGACCACTAAGGCTTCTCTTGCTAGCCATTGTTTTTTTTTTTTTTTTTTTTTTTTAATTGTTGTTGTTTTTTGAGACAGGATCTTTGTGTGTAGTCCTGGACTATGTTGGGATTATAGGCAGAAACCATCATGCTTGGTTTGACCTGGCCTGTGTTCCTTTGCCCTGCTTAGACAGTTTCTGAGCTTCCCCTGTTTTCTGGCCCCCACACAGACCAGCCCTTCCCCTGTGGGCCTTCTCTAATAGCACAGAGGGCTGGGGGCTCCTGAAGCCAATTCTTCATAGTTCTGGAGGCTAGGAGTTTTAAGACCAGAGTTCTCTATGTGTGATCCTAATGGGTCTCTCCTACTTACCCTTATACTCAGATCAGCTCTGAGAAACCCCACCTCCTAATCCTTTACCATGGCTATGAGGGTTTCTGGGGAGACATGACAATTTACAGTAGAACCCTTTTGGGTGGGGGATCAGGGATCTTGGTACTGGTTCTGCTACTGCTATAGGAATGTCACCACACCTAGATATTTTATACAGGCAGAGCTCAGAAATATCCAAGCATGTCCCTACTGATGTCCCCCAATATACCTAGCCTCCATTACCCTATTCCCTAATAGTTTGTGTCTCCTTTCAGATTAGAGCTGTTAGAGGACAGTTAGAGTGACATATGCTTGTAATCTCAACACTTGAGAAGTGGAAGTAGGAGGATCAGGAGTTCAAGGCCAGCCTGGGCTACATGAGACCATATCTTTAAAAAAAAAGTTGAAACTGTACAGGAACTGGATTTCTATAAGAGACACTCTTGATTGCATCAGGGAGTCAAATGTACAAGGAGGGAGACATGAGCCATTCTTGGGTCTATCAGCCCCCAGAGGATGTTCTGTATGTAGTAGATATTTCAGTCAAGGTCCTATGGTCTTGGTAAGTCATGGGTTCAGTTAAGGCAGGTGGCATTAAGTTTTTTTGGAGGACAGGGTACTGGAGGAGTTGCAATTGAACTGAAGACTTCACACATTAGGGAACTGCTCTACCTTTGAGATAGCTGTATCCAACCCATTTACTTTTGAGGAAAAGCCTCAGTAAGTCCCCCAGGCAGGACTTGAATTTATAATACTTCTGCTTCAGCCTTCTAAATTGTTGAGATAGCAGGCCTGTATTACCAGGCCTGGCTGCTTTTCTCATTCCTTTAAAATATTTACAACCACTGGAAGTGGTGGCATATGCCTTCAGTCCTAGCACTCAAGGCAAAGGCAGGAGGTTCTACATGAGTTTGAGGATAGCCTGGTGTGCAAAGTGAGTTCTAGGACAGCCAGAGCTATACAGAGGAACACTGTCTCAAAGGACAAAACTAAAATATTTACAACCCACACATTAAGAAATTTACATGGTGTGTCTGGACAGAGCAAACACTGGTGTCTGTGTCCCCCATCAGAAGTTTCCTACAGACGCCTCTTGCTCAGAATGAACCAGCAGAAGCTCATTATCTTGCATGCTATTTTTTTTTTTAAATTTTTAGATGCTTTAAAAAAAAGTCCTCTGTGTTTTCCAGTTTGTATTGGTTTGCTGTGGTTATCATAGGAAAGGAGGAGAGATTGGAATTAGGGCAGGCTGGCTCCCCTAAAAGCCTGAGAAAACACATATTCCAGGCTCTTTCCCAGCTCCTGGCCTTTGCTGGGCAGTCTTCCACAATCTGTTGAGCATAGGTGTGTCATCCTGTCCCCTGTCATCATGTTCACAGGTTGTTCTGTGTGCATGTCTGTGTTAAAATATCCCCTATCCCTCTCATGGTGCTGAGGATCAAACGTCGGACTTTGCATGCACAGCATGCTCTCTACCACTGAAAAATATTCTAGCCACAAATCTCCCTTTTTAAAAGGAAATAGTCATATTATTGCTTACAGGGTGGTCTCAGTTTTAAATTTGATCGCCTCTTTAAAGGACACTATTTTTAAGGACACTATCTTCCAATAATGTCACAGATCCTGGGGTAACACATGAAGGTTTTAGGGGAACACACAAACCATTAATACCAGACTCTGTTGACATGTACATGTGAGCCCATGTCTTGTCCCATTTCCTGTGATGGTACCCGGAAGGACACAGTTCAGTGGTGCAGTAATGACCCTGGATTTTGGAAGGCAAATTGGAGCTGACTCCAGGACACTGAGCATGGGAGCAGAGCACTGATGACTCCTACTACTCACAGGACATGCCCACAATTCTTGTAGCAGAGAAGCTCCTGTGTCACTCTGGCTTGTTTCTTTGAGACGTGTGTTTTGCTTCTTTTTCTCCAAGCTACTGCTCATGTTGTCTGTCCACCTCATCCCTTTCTTGTGAATTTTTAAGGGCTGTTTTGCAAAAATATATAAACACAGGGCATGTCTGGTAACCACTGGCATTTGGGAGAGGCTTCATGCTCTACAGTGGTGATTTGACTGCAAAAGCAGAAAACCACAAAACAGAAAGCTGATCATATCAGTAAGAAGCCGAAATAAAAGTGGCTCTAGGAGCTGAACGCCAAGGATGTCAGAGCTGCATTCCACCTGTCTGGGATCTCAGCTCCAGCTGAGGGCAGGGAGGTGACTAGACAGGGCTAGAAAGGAGGGAAGTGGGACAGCTGAAGCACTGACATGTGAGCAGGTGAATGGGCAGGTATGGAACCACCTTGGCTGTACTATCTAGCCTGGATGGCAGCAACCTACCAGAGAGGGGAAGCTATCCCCTGGTCCTGGTATTAGCCAGTGGGCATGAGTTTGAGGCTACATGTCCTCTGTGGCACACGTTCTAAAGGGCAACTCTCCTGGAAGGCTGCTGCTATCATGCACAGGTAGAGATACAAGTAATGCCAAAGGAATTCCCACTGTGGATCCCAACAGACTCGGAAAGCCTGAGTGACAGGTGTGTGCCTGGTAGGGTCAGGCTATCCTGTTTTTTTTCCTTCCTTCTGGCGACCACATCCCTACCCCAGTAGGTAGTAGCTTCCAACCCTTCTTGGTGTCATCTGAAGGTCAAGGTGAAGAGTAAAAAAACCTGCTCTGAGCCTATGTGGACAGGATGGGGGCATGGAATCCTCTGCTAAACTGGGTTAAATGTCAAAACCAGGCTTATCAGCCTGCCAGCCATGAACATGGCTGGAATGTGGGCCTGTCCTGAGGGCAGAGGACCCTACCTGATTGGGCTTTGTTGGAGGAAGGGGACATCTCTTCCAGAGGGCTTATCAGACACAGGCAAACAGAGGCATTTCCCACCCACTCCTACTCCATGGCTTTTTGGGATCAGGACTTGACAATGGAGAATGTACTGCAGAGGGCTGGACCTGGGCTAAGGTCAGGGTAGTGTGGTTCTAATCCAGAGCTGTCCCTTCCAGGCTAGTATCCAATGCCCCTGGGCTCTCCTGGCCTCCTCACCCTCTGTCTACATTCACCACACGGAGGCTTCAGTCTTTTGCTTTTCCCACCCTCACAGCCAGCCCTGAGACTTAGGCCCCTTGTGGTCTGTCATGCATGGACACCCTGGTCTTGTACAGACAGCTGGATCTGCCTTGGCAACCTAGGTGGCTCTGTGGGGCGGGCCCACAGAACGAGGAGGGTGGGGCATCTAGGGAGACTTAAAGAGCTCCCAAGGCACACCCTGTGCCCTGTGCTGCTGCCGCCATCGGATGCCTCAGCTCCCACCATGGCTGAAACTACCAAGCTCCAGCTTTTTGTGAAGGTTCTGGGGAAGCTGGGTTGGAGGGGTGCTCTGTTTTGTTGTGTAGGCTGAGGGATGGGTTTTCCTAATGGTGTCTGAGTCCCTTCCCCTATGATGGGCTTAAGCTGCCCCATACTGGGCTGAGTAGTCAGGCATCCTGGGGTAGGAGCTACCACAAAGGGGGGGGGGGAATCAGTCTGGGTCCTGCTCTTTATCTTGCTTGGCTCCTGGATTTGGCCCAGACCTGGGAGAAAGCCCTTGGTGGTAGGTGTCAGTCTGGTAGCTGGCACCGACATTTAGCTAGAGATTCAAGTTCATGTGCCAGAACGAGGCTTGTCAGACAGCCCCATCAGCTCTCAGGCGAGTGCTCAGATCTGAGTGGAGGCAGGTGCTGGCCTCCTTTGACCACTCCCTTCCCTGAGCTGTTAGCCTGAATACCCAGTTGTGTGGGTCAATCACTTAGAAGACTGACTCTCTGGCCTGCCCCACCTTGCAGCCAGTCTCCACGACTGGAACCCTCTGGCTCTGGAAGAAAAGGTTGTGACAGGACCCCAAACCCAGGTCTCCCTACTCCCAGCTTCTCCCCATTCCAGGGATCAGTTCAAGAGCCCTCACTAGACACTTGTACATGCCAGGGCCAACCAGGCCAGAGCCCTAGCCTGCCTCCAGAGCCAATGGCAGTGGGAGGCAGAGTCCCACCCAGTCAGGTGTTAGGATTCCTGGGTCTGCTCCCAGCCTCTGCTCCACCCACCCAGGCCAGTGAGGATGGCGAGAGTGTCGGACACTGCCCTTCTTGTCAACGGCTCTTCATGGTCCTACTCCTCAAAGGTGTGCCCTTCACACTCACAACAGTGGACACACGAAGGTGAGACACTGCCCTGGACCCCTCCCTGGCCTCTGCCTACCTCAGGCAGGCCACCTCCCTTCTGCCTGGTGTCAACAGGGCATTGGATGTGCTGAAGGACTTTGCGCCAGGCTCACAGCTGCCCATCCTGCTCTATGATGGGGATGTCAAGACAGATACACTGCAGATTGAAGAGTTCCTGGAGGAGACACTGGGGCCACCTGAGTACCTGATGGGACACCCCGGGGGGACACCTGGGAGAGTGCCTAGGAAGGGTGCTTTAAGGGACAATATATGTGAGGGTCTGACTGGAGTTCCTAAACCATTTACATCTACAGCTTCCCAAGCCTGGAACCCAGGTACAGGGAGTCCAACACAGCAGGCAATGACATCTTCCACAAATTCTCTGCTTTTATCAAGAACCCAGTGCCTGCACAGGACAATGGTGAGGCACAGGCCAGCAGTGAGAGGTAGGAGAGCTAACCCAAGGCCAAGGCTGAGTCCTCACTGTGCCCTTGTCCCCAAGCCCTGTATCAGCAGCTGCTCCGTGCCCTGACCAGACTAGACAGCTTCCTGCGTGCACCTCTGGACCATGAACTGGCACAGGAACCACAACTTCCTGAGTCCCGCCGCCGCTTCCTAGATGGTGACCGGTTTACACTTGCTGACTGCAGCCTGCTGCCCAAGCTGCACATTGTGGATGTGAGTAAGGGACCAGCTGGTAGGTGTGGGTAGAAGGGTTGTTGAGTGAGGTCCTCATCACACTCTATTGCACCTGCAGACCGTGTGTTCACACTTCCGCCAGGCGCCCATCCCCATGGAACTGTGGGCTGTTCGCCGCTACCTGGACAGTGCATTGCAGGAGAAGGAGTTCAAGTATACGTGTCCACACAGAGCAGAGATCCTGGCAGCTTACCAACCTGCTGTGCACCCCCGTTAGCACCCCTACCTCCATACACACATCTGTAGCCCCATAAAGCCTCTCTGCCTGAAGCAACTGTGTCCTGAGCATCCGAGCAGCCAGAGACCCAAATTACACCACTCCAACCCCCTGGTGATAAACATAGTTCAAGATGACAGCTCAAAATGATGAAGGCAAGAGAGTCCACTGGGGAAGGCACAGCTCATCTTCCTCCATGGCGCTAGCACAACAGCCTGGGGCTCCCTACAGCTGCCCTGGCACAGAGGCACCAGAGACCTAGGGGACTGGATTAGTCTACCAAACCAGTCAGGCCAGAGCTGGGTGGGGTGCCCTGGAAGGTCAAGAAGGGTGAGGAACAGAGCCCCATGAAGCTCAGCCTCCAGGATCCTGGCCAAGTAGGTGGGGACAGGCTAACATTCCTGAGTCCAGCCATGGGCTGTGGGCTAACCCCATCTCCTCTAAGGGCCTTCCAAACACTCATCTGCCCAAGACACCTCCTCTGTGAATCTTTGTATGGGAGAGATGTGAACTGCTCTACCTGGGTGGGGAGTGAAAGTGTGGGACAGCATTCTAAGCCTTAGTGAGTCTGGCCCTACCAGACTGGGACCCTCTCAGCTTCTGGGCTGGCTATGCAGAAACAACAGAATAGGTCTGAGAAAGGTCTGCTGTCCTAGACACAGCCAGGACAGCCTCCTAAATACTGAGAACCTGATGCATCTGTTTGCATCCTGGGGTGCCACACCAAAAGGGTCTTCTCTGGGCCCCTTCCCAAGACCAATTCTCACTAGTCAAGTCTGGCTTAGCATCTCTACTTGAGGGAGCAGTTTATTTGACAGGGAAGGGATAAGAGGCACTCTTGCCCAACAGCAGGACAACAGTGGAAGTGAAGCAAAGTTGTCTGATGGGTGGGAGTCTCAGATCTACCCCTTTGCTTGCAGACAGGCTCCTGGCAAGGTCACAGGTTTTGCTATATTCAGGTCTCATCAAAGTCTACACCACCAGATGGTTTCTTACTAGAAAACAAGAGTATATAATTCACAGAGGAGAGGGAAATGGGCCCAGGGTAGGAAAGACAGGTGGCAAGTACCTTTTGAAGCCAGGGTTGATGAGAGACTCCCCTGGACACCTTTTCCTGACCCCAGGTCCAGAACTGCCTCTCTGGTGATCAAGTTCTGCCAGAAAACCAGATCAGGGAATTCTTGAAACCCAACAGAACCCTGACCAGAACTCTGTCCACGTTGAAAGATTCTCTCTAGAACATGAGACATCTGGGGAGGCAGCTCCAGAGAAAGACCAGCCCCTTACCTGCTAAGAAGAGGTGAGGGACTGCTGGCTGGGTGTTCTTCCTGGGCCTAGCAGTGGTTTCTTCTGCAGCTGGGAGAAAGCCATGGCACCCCACTCAATACCAGGAGGTTCTGCAAAAGCATGTCCCCAAGAGAGGATACAGGTGCCCTCCTTACCTGCCAGCCGCCTCTCTAGGTTGCACACACGCTCTGCCAGGCTGAGAGTCAAAGCCTGCAGCCTGAGGGCTGCCTCTTGGCTGGGCACCTTGGAGAGGTCAAAGGTCAATGCAGAAGTGTCCCCTGAAAGGGTCATCAATGCCCTGTCCTCTTGCAGGCTTACAGTCACTGCTTGCTGCTGGCAGGCTGCCCTAAGAAGGGAGAAGGTGTGTGTTATGGTCAGGATGTGTTATCCCTACCCAAAGCTCCTCACTCACACGGCCTCCCTAACTGGGACTCACCTGAATCGGGAAGAGATATCTTCAGTGCTACTTAGGCCAGATCGGGCTTTCTGCTAGGAACACGGAATTGTCACTAACAGCCCAGGATCCTGGACCCACTGGACACCCCAAACTGCCCAACCCTGGATATACTATTAGAACCACAGTCACAGGAGAGGGAAAAGGGTGGCAGGCTCCCAGATGTCTCCTATCCCCAGTGCTGTTACGCACGAGTGTTGCCAGGCTGTCAGGTGAGAAGCAGGTACTCCAGAGCTCCGCGGCGTCCGTCACACTGGGCGGGAGGGGCTGTCAGGCACGGCGCCCGTTGCGCTCCCTCACTCCACGTCCCTAGACCCCACTCACCAGAGGTTGAAGCCGTCGCGGAACCCCTCTCCATTACTCTCCCTCACGCAGTAGCACACCAAGTGGGGAGAGCCAGAGCCCGTCGACACAACGCAAAGCGGCAGCGACAGCGGCGGTGCCATAGCAGGTATGGCTGCTGGAGCCAAGCCAGCTGTGGGGTTAGGGCGCCTGCGCAGAAGTATGAACTACAAGACTTCCTTGCTAAGCTGTCCGCTCGTGGGCAGTACTTCTGTTGTCTAGAGGGAAGGAAGGACAAGACTGCTGGGCGGGGCGGTATTCAAAGGGTGTCAGTGTTTCCGGGGAATTGGCTTTGGGCGCAGGGCCGAACTAGAGGGCGGAGCTTGGCGCGTGGGGCGGAACTAGAGGGACCTGGAGGGCGGGGCTTAGCGCTTTAGTCCCTTTTCTGAAGTAGACTCCTCAATTCTATAACGTGCTTCGCCCTTCGGCTCTTGCACCCTAGCAGAGATGTACTAGGGCCTCATTCCCTGTGCTCCTTGGCTCTTCTGGGTCCCTCCTAGCGACGGCGCGCACCTCTGCCGCTCTTAATGACGATCCTCTTTCTTATCCATCCCCCATGGGCTTCTCCTCGACATTGTTAGTCTCTTGTCCCTTCATGTCACTTTAGATATAAACACATCTCTTTCCAAGCTGAGTTGTAACAAGCCAAAATGCAAGAGTGAATACAGTGTGTTTGGTAAATAGTGCAAACAGGGAAATGTTCTCCCCATGCAATTTTCTCTTTCCATTGTCTGAGCCTGGTGCAACCTATTGTCTTAGTCCTGAGAACACCTTGACCAACACAAGGTCTCTGGAACTTGAGATCTAATGGGAGAGATGAATTATCAACAGGACAGCACTCATGGTGCTGCAAACTGTTGATCAGAATTCACAAGGGCTGCAGAATATGAGCTGGTGCTATTTGAGCTACTATCTGCAGAGAATGGAGGCCAGCAAAGCATTTGCTCAGAAGGCCTGGATGGAACAGAAGTCTTCCAAGGCTGTGCAGGAGGGTTGTCATGGGCTGGAGAGATGGTTCAGAGGTTAAGAGCAATGACCTCTTCCTAGAGGTCCTGAGTTCAATTCCCAGAACCACATGGTGGCTCACAACCATCTATAATGGTGCCCTCTTGCAGATAGAACATTGTATGCATAATAAATAAATCTTTTTTAAAAAGGAAAAAAGAAAATACCATAATGGCTCTCATGAACCTGTGAGAGCCATGGTGATTGTGACTTTGTGAATTGTGCTAACATATTTGAAGGATGCCATTAACCAGACAGCCCTCAATTCTCACTTTCTTTGAGTTTTGCTTAAGCCTGCCTCAGAGCCTTTGGTGGGTTGTTACCTGTCCCCAGCCCTGTGCATTACCTGTAGCTTTTTACTGAGACAGCATCTTTTGAGAGGGTCCTCTTGAGGCTTTGAGAAGAACATTTCACTCTGCCCAAGTCTCCATCCCTCTCTCCCATGTCATTACTTATTTTCCCTGCTTTCACTGTGTACTGTACATTCTGGCTTTAGTATTCTCTAGCACAGCCTTGGTGTCTGTCTGCCTGCATTTCCACCCTAGCATGACCCCTCCCAGAAGCTGCACCTAAAGTCTTGCTTCAAGGCACTGGAAGATGGCAGAACTGATGGTTGTCATTTCTCCCATCCCTATTGTATTGCTCACCACAACACAGGTATGGAACCCTGCCAGTGCTAGTGAGGGACTAGGAGGCAGAGACCTGTCCAGACCTGGGAGACAGCACAACACATCCTCTTCCATTAGAGGGCCTGCCCCAGACCTTAAAGACCCAGAGATAACACAGCCTATTGTCCTAAGCTGCTAAATACTGCAGTGATTTGTTTCTCAGCTTTCTACGGAGCTGCTGGTTTTTGTTGTTGTTTCTGTCTGTCTGTTTGTTTGTTTGTTTGTTTGTTTACCACTTTTGTGTTTTCAGTTCTTAGGCAATGAGCTAGGCCCAGCAGTGCATAGCAGAGTTCCCAACCACTTGAGGGGCTCAGACATTGCTTGGACCAAGGAATTAAAAAAAAAAAAAACCTTTTAAAATTGTGTGTATATGTGAGTGCCTGTGTACATGTGAGTGCAGGTACCCATGGAGTCCAAAAGAGGGTGTCATATTCCTGAAGCTGGCATTACAGGCAATTAGTAATGAGTTACCATGTGGATGCTGGGAATTAAACCTGGGTCCTTTGGGAAAGCAGCAACTGAAATGATGATGTGCACAACAGATATTATATGAGATGGAAAGAGAAAGACATGAAAGTGGGAGGGGATGGGACACCCCAACAGAGAGGGGAGAAAGCAAGAAAGAGGAAGAACAAGAGCGCAAAAGAGAGAGAGGTAAGAGGCAGGGGTCCATTTATAGCTCCTGCACAGATGAATCGTGACTGTTAGGATGACATCATAGGTTACTAGGCAACCCAGAAGCAGGCTGCCTAAATACTAACATTTTGCCCTGTTTCTATAATTAAAAAATGAGGAGTTTGGGCTGCTTCTCATGTTAAAGCATATAAATGTAGGTTCATTGGAAGCAGCTATTGGTTGCCATACAAGGGGGTAAGAAAAAGAAAGGAAGAAAAAATAATAGCACCAAAATGTCCAGATTACATGGTGAGGAGAAAGGGAAGCCCCTGCCCTGGAAAGTTCAGGGTAGAGGGTAGAATTTGCCAGCCATGCACTGCAGCAGATAGGGATTGAGGAATACTGGGAGAACCTGGAGCTGCTTGTCCTGGAACTGAAGCACACCATTTTAGCCTTTTTGTTAATAATAAATGAATAATGAGTGGAGATTCTCTTCTGGCTACTTCCTGCTGACAATGGGGCTGCTATAGGGAGGTCAAAAGGCTGAAATACTGGCCAAGTCCAGAAAGAACAGGCTGTTTTGATGCTGTCCAGGATCTGTGAGAACATCAGTGGCTGAGAGGGAAAGTGCAGGTCCAGCTTTATGAAGTCTGTCAGGTCAGACTGGGACACCTATGGTAGCTACCTTGGTGCTATTGTGGATGTAGGAAACACCTGAGTCTGGTAGGCTGCTGGAACATCTATGTAGGCAGAAGATAAAGTTAAGTAGGTTATGGAGAAAAATTCTTTAGGTGTACATTTAAAACTTTTGGGAGAGTGAACAGAGGTGGAATGCTTGGATCAAAGAAGAGACTTAAACATGGGAACCTTCATTTACCCAATCACTGGCAGTAATTAAAAAGGTTTTATTTTCGATCTGTTATTTAAGGAAACTTGAGGCCAAGTTTGGTTGCAGAGGTGTGTATGCTTAGAGGCCCTTAAATCAGGTGCTAGGTATAGAAATCTGAAATTCTCCAGAAAACATTCCAGAGGAGAGTCTGGAGGAACAGAGGAATGGACTATTCCCATTGGGCAGGTAGGAGTCAGTGACCTGTCAAGGTGTCCCAAAAGCAAGGTATGACTTAGTAGAGTAGTATGGTACAATCTGTTCCAACAGCTCATCAGTGTTGGCCAGAGACCAAGGGCACAGTTGCCTATAGCAGACATGGTTTACCTAGCTAGGATTTTGTAGATGAGCAAGAGGGGGAGGGAGCAAAACCATGCTGGTAGAGAGAAAATATCACCCAAGAGAGAAGTTCTAGATGAAGGGTTTGGATGTACGTTGGTGAAAGCTGTAAGAAGCATTTGCGCCAACCAGAAGTGAAGACTCACCAATCAGCTGTTGTCGGGTGTAGGAGTGTAGTGATCCGGTAGCCAGGAATTGATGCCATCCAGCAGGGAAGACTCACCAATCAGACAGTGTTAGATGTAGGAATGTAGCAATTGAGTAGCCAAGAAAGGGGAGTCCCAAAACCAGTGAAAAGGGAGGAATCCCACCCTCTGAGATAGGCAGTAGGTGAGAAATTTAATCTGGAGACCAATTGAGCTGAGAGGTGGATTTGGGTGGATCTCTTTTTAATTTTACAAAGGAGATAAAACTCTAGACATGTTAGTATCACCATTGTAATCTGCACTAAAATACACACTGTAGAAAAGGCAGTAGACATACACCCTTTAAGACATAACCACTCTTTAAGGTAAGCTCTGGAAAGGCAGAGGCCTTCCATGAAGTAGAAGGTAGAAGTAGAAGTAAAACATCTTCCTAGACCCTCAGACATTCGTAGCTGGCATTAACCAACTTTAAAGCTTAAGGTCCTCATAACTTAACTTTTGGTATCCTTAAGCCTTGAATCCAATTATTTACCATCAGACATAGGAGAGACTGCTATGAACATTTATTATCCTTTAGCTAAAGAAATTGTAAAAGGTTATATCTGAGACCTGTTCTTGTTTGATAACAAATCAGACTCTGTCTGATAGTAACAGCTCTAGGATTGAGACTTAAGCCTGGTCTCCTTCATATGAAGGCAATTGAGATGCATCTCAGTTGCAAGACAGAAACTGGCAATGTGACTGTGAGATCTGAATGTGAGGTTAAAACAGACCTGCAATGTTACCCTGGGCTGGGTGAGGGTGGTGGAGGTCGCTGAATCTAGGACCCATTTATCCTCCGCTAGGCCAAGGAGCTCAAAGGCTGGAAGTGTCTGTGGCTCTTGTGCTGGTGGAGCTTCCATGGCTGGGAACAGAGGACAAGCTTGCATGGGAGCATTTTGACTTCTAGAGGCCAGTCTGCCAGTAGGCAGAGTATGGCTTGTTGAGGCAGCCATGAAACCAGTGTCCCCTTTAGCTGCATTTGAAACAGTTACCTGGCAGAGCTGACTTTTGGCTATACCCTGGTGGGATGGGGCATTGCAGATTTCTTGTTTTTCTTCTGTGGGAAGCTGACAGCCTCAGAGCAGTAGCCAAAGTCTGGAGCATAGTTTTTGCTGTAGCTGAGCCTGTCGGGAAGATTCATGGGCTTTAAAAATAATTTTTCCAACTCCTGTATGGGAGGTTCAGGGACCATGCTCAGCCATTCAGTTAAGACGGCAGTGAGGCCATGTCTGCATCTGCAGGACTATAAATATGTTTTTGAACATGTTAAAGGACTCGATCATCTATAAGATGACCAACTATTAATTTGCATTTATTAACCGCTAAATATTAGGACTTTAGGTTTGGTCCTGTTAAGTTGAAACCTTAAAAGTCTGTTAAAAGGAGAGCATAACAGTTTCCTGGCTTGCATCCTTCCGGCTCCGTCGTGGAAGGAGGACTATGCCTCATCTTCCTGAAGGTTGAGAACAAAAAGAAGATGCACCTGGACTTTTCCCAGAGCGCTCTGCGGAGTCTAAGGCGTTGGGTGGAGTTGGTTCGTAAGCCGCGCTCCTTACTGTAAATAGAAGTCACTT